CTCTAACATATAATTGTAATAATCTGTTATACATTTGCATCCAATAAGCTATTCACTTTTCTGTGCTGCTACCCTCCAACCAACAGGAAGCTTGGGTGTTTTTGAGGTAGGTCAATTGTGAAATTATTATATATTCTAAGACTGATACTTAGCAGAAATAGACAAGACTTATCTTTTAATATTGACAAAAGATTATGATCCAGATTATAAACAACTAGTAACCACTAAGAAGTCAAAGCAATATGAAGTAGACACTGCAACAGAAAAAGGAGGAAAAAGAAAAGAAAAACATGAGACAAACATATGAAAAGATGCTTACTTTCATTAACAATCTGGGAAATGCAAATTAAGTAGAAAATCAGATTTATATTCAGGAGATTGGTAAAAATTAAGAATAACCAAGCATTGACGGCAGAACAATGAAACTTTTTTTTTTTTTTTTTTTGAGACAAGTCTTACTCTGTCACCCAGCCTTGAGTGCAATGGCAAAATCATGCATCACTGCAGCCAGGATCCCCCAGGCTCAAGTGATCCTCCCACCTTGGCTTCTTGAGTAGCTGGGACCACAGGCATGCACCACCATATCCAGCTAATTTTTGTATTTTTTGTGGAGACAAGGTTTCACCATGTTGCCCAGGCTGGTCTCAAACTCCTGGACTCAAGCAATCTGCCTGCCTAGCCTCCCAAAGTTCAAGGACTACAGGTGTGAACCACTGCACCTGGCCACAATAACTCATACACTGCTGGGTTAGACTGTAAATTAGTGTCACTGTGGCAAAATTTTGTGATGTTGAACATAGTTTACTTTGTAACCTTAAAACATTCTGAATATAAGCCTGTAAGTCCTTAATAATGCCCCCTGGAAAAGAATAGACGAATTTAAAAGAACACCATTCCCACTAATTCTTTTCTCTGGAGATTGGTGATTACAGGGAATAATTAAGGTTTTTTTCTTTTTTTTTTTTTTTTTAGAGAGGGTCTCACTCTGTCACCTAGGCTAGAGTATAGTGCTGTGATTATAGCTCACTGCAGCCTCCATCTCTAGACTCAAGCAATCTTCCAACTTCAGCCTATGGAGTAGTAAAGACTACAGGCACCTGGTTAACTTATTTTATTTCTTGCAGAGATGTAGTCTTGCTATATTGCCCAAGCTGTTCTCAAACTCTGAGACTCAAGCGATCCTCTTGCCTGGGCCTCCCAAAGTGCTGGGATTATGGGTGCGAGCCACCATGCCTGGCTGAAATAATGAGGTGTTTATAAGTGTTTCCAGGAGAATGAAGTTAGCTGCAGTTAGTGAAGAAAAGGTTATGAAGAAAGCTGACTGATAAATGTTAAGAAGAATGACATTTTAAAAATCATGCTTTTGTTATCCTAAATAAAATAGCTTAACATGAAAAGTATCCCCAATGATACCTTTTTTTTTTTTTTTGGAGACAGGGTCTCACTCTGTTGCCCAGGCTGAAGCGCAGTGACAATCATGGTTCACTGCATCCTGGACTTCCCAGACTCTAGTGATTTTCCTACCTTTTAGTCTCTTGAGTAGCTGGGACTACAGATGCACACCACCGCACCCGGCTAATTTTTTGTTTTTGTAGACAGGACTTTACCATGTTGCCCAGACTGGTCTTTTTTTTTTTTTTTTAAAAGATAAAGACAATGTTTCACCATGTTGGTCAGGCTGGTCTCAAACTCCTGACCTCGTGATCCACCCGCCTCGGCCTCCTAAAGTGCTGGGATTACAGGCATGAGCCACCACGCCCGGCCCAGACTGGTCTTGAATTGCTGGCCTCAACTGATCTGCCCACCTCGGTCTCCCAAAGTACTGAGGTTATAGGTATGAGCTCCTGTGTCTGACCCCCAATAATACTTTTGAGTAGGGTGTGCCAAGAGGTGGAAGGTCATAATGAATTGGAAATTCTTACAATGCCAAAGTATACAGAGTACTTACTGGGTGTCAAGAAGGAAAACATAATTTTATAATAATGAAATCTGTCATTACTTCAATCTAGCCATCAATCATGGCATCTCTAATAACAGTGAGACAGACAGATATTACGCATCTTTTAAGATGAAGTAGATAGTATCGCCTATTAAGTATTCTTGCCAGAAATGCTTGCACTTAATTAAATTAAGTCTTCACATTATCCTCCAGTTTACAGAAAACACAAGAGATACAGAAACTAAATGAGATGAATCAGAGGAATCCTTCAGATTGGATATTCTCCATAAAACTGACTTGGTCTCTTCAAGTCAATATATCAAAAAGAAAGATTGGAATAGGTGGTGATGATCTAAATTTTTTAAAATGTAAATGAACAACTGAATACAATGCAATCAATGCCAAAGACATTTTTGACACAACTGAGGAAATGTGAACACACACTATTAGACAATATTATGGAATTATTGTTAAGTGGCAAAAGTGATGTGGTAAAGGAAGCAAATGACTTTATGGACATGAATACTGATATATTAAACAGTGAAATGTCATAATTTCTGAGCTTTACTTTGAAATATTTTGAAAGAAAATAAATATGACAAAACATTAACAATCATTAAATACAGACAATAAGCAATGGATACTTATTATTCTATTTTTCTGAATGTTTGAAAATTTTCCCAGGAGAAAAAAGCAAATAGAATGTGAGCCGTAGCTATGAGTAAAATCTATTCTTTCCTTCATAGCTAAGCTTCATAAAAGAAAAATGAAATGCTATGTTGAGGAAGGTTGTTTCTAAGTCAGAACTCAAGATTGAAGAAAATGAAACAACAGAAAGAGAGAGGTTGAAGATAGAGGACAGATGGAATAATTAATGGAGCAAGGACCTGGAAGAGATGGGAATGAATAACATCACTTATTCTGAAGTAGCATTATAAAGGAATAAAACATTGTATTACAAAAAGAGAAAAAAAAGACATAGCTAAGTCTACAAGCTGGAAGACAGCAAGTTCAGGAAGTCTGAAAATGATGGCTGAATTAAGAATAAGGTAATCTGCCGAGAGTTAAATATGGTAAAAAGGGGATGAGAGCTGGGAAGAACGGTAAGGTTTGAAGTAATCACTGTGAGGAATGAGATAATTAATGAAAGCCAATATAAATACACATGGAGGGCCACTGGAAACATAATTTACTGTCAGCAATCTCAGTAACTATGCAGTAACACTTGGCTACATGAATACAGGATACAAAAGGGCAGAGGAAGTACAGTTGTTCATATCAGAAGGCTTTTACACGTCAGTCTAGAGATCTTGATAAAGCAGAATGCGGAGAGCATAAATAAGAAAGTGAAAGAACTAGGGGGCCAGAAGTCTGATAAGTAAACAGGATAACTGAAATTTCAGAAATGGATTGTACATATGACAAGATCTAAAAGGAGACTTACTTACCAAGAAGGTTGGGAAATCTCATTCTCTATCAGACTTTTGAAGTAAAATAAATTCTCTACCTGGCTAGTGTGATTTCAATGTGGTTTTACCAAGTGAAAAAAATCGAGATGATTCCTTCTTATCAGTTATAAGGTGCAGCAGCTTTTTGGTCTATATGATGTCTCCACATGATGGTAGTTATTTAAAACATATCAACATCATGGTGGTTATTTAAAACACCACAAGTAATTCATTAATATAGTTTGTGCAATAGGAATACCCATGGGAGTAGTATGTTATACATGTTAATGTAATTTCACATTGCAGTAGAAAAGACACTGCTAACTGCTAGCATAAAGTATTGTTATCATTTTAAAGCATTTTGTACCATAGAAAGTACAGTATCAGAAAAGCTAACTATGACCTAAGGCTAAGAATTAAGTACCGGAAGCTAGAGAAATAACAGCTATTATTTTAATTAACGCTCTTAATCTGATTCAAAAATAAAACTAATGAACCAAGGTTGTTTATTTTGAACTTTTTTTTTTTTTTCTTTTTTTGAGACAGTGTTTCACTCTTGTTACCCAGCCTGGAGTGCAATGATGCGATCTCGGCTCACCGCAACCTCTGCCTCCTGGGTTCGGGCAATTCTCCTGTCTCAGCCTCCTGAGTAGCTGGGATTACAGGCACACGCTACCGTGCCCAGCTAATTTTTTGTATTTTTAGTAGAGACAGGGTTTCACCATGTTGACCAGGATGGTCTCGATCTCTTGACCTCGTGATCCACCCGCCTCGGTCTCCCAAAGTGCTGGGATTACAGGCGTGGTATTTTGAACTTTTATGACACACATACCAAGAAAAGCTTCATTAGAAAGTAGCACAATAAACAACACTTGGCCAGGTGCAGCAGCCACACCTGCAATCCCAACATTTTAGGAGGCTAAGGTGGGAGAATCACTTGAGCCCAGGAGTTTCAGATCAGTCTGGGCAACATAGTGAGACCCTGTCTCTACAAAAAAATTTTTTTTAATTAGCCAGGCATGGTGGTGTGCACCTGTAGTACAACTGTACTTTAGTAGAAACAGGATACCTCCTGTACTCAGGAAGCTGATAGGGGAGAATCACTTGAGCCCAGGATTTCAAGGCTGCAGTGAGCCACGATCATTCCACTATACTCCAGCCTGGATGACAGAGCCAAAGCCTGTCTCTAAAATAAACAAATAAATTTTTAAGTTGTCAATCCATACCTCATGCCTATCTTGCTGGTTATGCTAATTTTGAACTTAAGTGACACTCTGGGGTCAAACTAAGAGGAAAAGAATGTCAATGAATGGGACCACACCAGAAAAGTTTTGTGTTTTTTTTTTTAAATAACAGCATCCTTAAATATGTATATCCATTCCAGACTCCTAATTCCAGTCAATGTGGAAAAGGAGGAAAGTTTTAAAGGTAGTACATGCTAGTCCCATGTACCACTATTAAAAGGTAGCACATTCTAACGTTAGCTTTATGTTATATTGAAACCAATATTACCAAAGGAAATAATACAGTTCTATAACCTAAGGAGGAAAACTGTACCACTAGAATATTTTGTCACTTCCACTGAATTTCCAAAAAATATATAAAATACTTACTTTTTCATTTTTTTTGAGTTGTATTTGACTTGGTAAGCTGCTTGGATTAACTTGTCTGGGACTCCATCAAACTGATGTGGAATGACCTTTTGAAAGTGCTAACATACAGTAAAAGAAAAACATAAGAATGATTTAGTGCTGTTAATAGTGAAATCCAAAGACACTAAAGAAATTATGGACTGTGCATGATGGCTCATGCTTGTAACCTCAGCACTTTGGGAGGCCAAGGCAGGCAGATCACTTGAGGTCAGGAGCTTGAGACCAGCCTGGCCAACATGATGAAACCCTGTCTCTACTAAAAACACAAAAATTAGCCAGGCATGGTGGTACACATTTGTAATTCCAACTACACAGGAGGTTCAGGCGGGGGGTGGGGGGAGGAGGATCGCTTGCACCTGGGAGGTGGAGGTTGCAGTGAGCCGAGATCACGCCACCACACTCCAGCCTGGGCTACAGAGTAAGACTCCATCTCAAAAAAACAGAAAGAAAAAATTATGAACTTACCTGTAACATCCCTTCCATGTCAAGTTGCATCAGTTCTGCCTGATTCATTTGAAGAAGTGCTAATCCTACCCGAAACACTATTTCTAAACCCTGAGGAAACAAGGAAACAAATTAAATAAATCCAAATTTATCTCACTCTTCCATCAACAAAAACAAGTCATTTCAAATAATACTAAGGTAAACATTTAGGAATCTAAACTAGAGGCTGGCAAACGTTTTTTGTAAAGAGTCAGAGAGCAAATATTTCCGGTTTGGTGGGCTACACTGTCTGTCAAAATTACTCAGCTCTGCCACTACAAACCCAAAGCAGACATACCCGACATGTAAATATACGGTCAGCGCTGTGTTCCAGGAAAACTTTATTTAAAAACAAACAAACAAACAAATAAAAAACAGGTGTGGAAAGACAGATTTGGCACAAAAATCTGTCCATCTGATTGACTGGTACATGAATCATACTTGGCCAACTCTGATCTGAACTAATTTAGATAGGTACTACGAATTGATTTTCCCAAGATGTAATTAATAACAACTAATAGGCCGGGCGCGGTGGCTCAAGCCTGTAATCCCAGCACTTTGGGAGGCCGAGGCGGGTGGATCACGAGGTCAAGAGATCGAGACCATCCTGGTCAACATGGTGAAACCCCGTCTCTACTAAAAATACAAAAAATTAGCTGGGCATGGTGGCACGTGCCTGTAATCCCAGCTACTCAGGAGGCTGAGGCAGGAGAATTTCCTGAACCCAGAAGGCGGAGGTTGCGGTGAGCCGAGATCGCGCCATTGCACTCCAGCCTGGGTAACATGAGTGAAACGCCATCTCAAAAAAAAAAAAAAACAACTAATATTGAGTTTGCAGACTAGAAAACAAAGGATTACTACTATGTGCTGCTGGCAAAAGGACAACAAGCTGAAACGTGTTCATAGAATAGAATAAACATGCTTACTATGTCTTTTCTCTTTGGATAACAGATGCATTGCAACAATATTAACTGTAAGACAAATTTTACCTCTCACTAACTTTCACTGTATCAGTTAGAAGGTGATAAAGAGGTTATGATTAACAGTGTAGGCTCCAAATTGCCTATGTTTGAATCCTGGTTACAACATCACTTAATGTATTGTGTGTTCACAGACAAGCTACTTAACCTTTCTCTAAGTCTCAGCTTCCTTATCTATCATCTAATAAATAGAATAAAAACAGTATCTACCTGATAGGGTTATTATAAGGTTTAAATGAGACTATCCATGCAAGCACTTTTGCATGGGACTCATGGCTTTCCTTCATTGCTCTCTTCGTTGCCCTGCTCTCACAAACTCAATGACCCCTTTGCTCAACTCCTGCTCCTTGTCTCTCCATTAGCTTACCTCAGACATAAAGATATCAAATATTCTTGTTGCAATTGGTAGTGGAAAAGTTGTAAGAAAGATAGTCAGAAACCAGGATGATGCATACATTGAGGTATGAAAACTCTGAGATTGAAAATGTACAAAGAGCTCTGGAAGATGCTCCTAAAGAGAAGAAAATAATTAGTTAAAACATAGTAAAATTGAGCATTTTAAATTAGATCATTACATTTATACTAGATTAGCCTATACCAAACACAAACATTAGTTCAAGCGTCATATGGAAAAGGTAAGATGCAGAAATTCAAACATTTGGACATGTGAGTTTTGAATTTTGAATATAACATTTATTAATAAAAAGAAACTAAAATAAAAGTTTTATATTTGTTTAATCCTGTTGGATACATGAGTGACTAATATTTTCTATACTTTTCTATCAACTATAATATTAAAAAAAAAAGTTTAAAAAGAAAAGAAACTGTATGTTAAAATACTTTCAGGCACTATCTACCACTGATCACCTATTCTTACCTTCCTAAAGAATAGGAAAAATACTCAAAATACAGCTGTTCCAGCAACTCTAGTAATTCAAAACATAAATGAGACTTTTTTTTTTGAGACAGGGTCTCACTCTGTCACCCAGGCTAGGGTACAATGGCACGATCTTGGCTCACGGCAACCTCTGCCTCCCAAGCTCAAGTGATCCTCTGATCTCAGCCTCCCAGGCAGCTGGGACTACAGGTGCACACCACCATGTGCAGCTAATTTTAAAAATTTTAGTAGAGACAAGATTTTGCCATGTTGCCCAAGCTGGTCTCGAACTCCTGGGCTCAAGCAATCTATCCACCTCAGCTTCCTAAAGTGCTGGGATTACAGGCATGAGCCACTGCATCTGGTCATAAATGACATACATTAATTGAAAATATAACACCAAGAGAGTTTAAGGCTGCTAAAAACAAGCTTACTATTTCAGGAAAAGAGTTAATTAAGAATCATCTCAAGTCCAGGCACAGTGGCTCATGCCTGTAATCCCAGCACCTTGGGAGGCTGAGATGGGAGGATCACTTGAGCCCAGAAGTTCAACACCAATCTGGGCAACACAGTGAGACCGTGTCTCTACAAAAAATTTTAAAAATTAAAATTAAAAAATAATAAAAAATTAGTCCGCTGCAGTGGTGTACATCCATAGTTTCAATTATACAGGAGGCTGAGGCAGGAGGATCACTTCAGCCCAGGAGGTCAAGGCGGCAGTGAACCATGATTGTGTCACTGTACTTCAGCCTGGGTGACAAAACTAGACTGTGTCTCAGAAGAAAAAAATAAATAAATAAAATAACCTCAAGACCTATTCTGGCTTTTTCTTTAAAATACATAAAAACAAAAAATATGTACCCCATAATGTACAATTATTGTATGTCAATTAAAAAATAAAATGTAAGAACATTTTACATATCCCCTTGCTCCCACCACAGATGGAAAAACAGGAGTTTATAAGGCTGCCAAGAGACAGGAAACTAATAAAAATGGCTCTCATGCCAGCTGAATCATTAACCTACTTTTAAAAATTCTGCTCATTTAATTGAAATTGGAATTTAAATGAAATTGAAATTTAAATAAATGAAAATACTTACACTATAGCAAACTTATTTAAATATATAAAATATAAAAATTAAATTCCGGAAAGGTAAAATACTTCAAAAGTATTTTTCCCTTGATTTTTATTCTGCTCCTATTCTCTCCACTTTCATACAGTCACTAGATAACTTGTCTTTAATTAGCAACATAAGAAGAAAACATTACAGGAAAAAAAATTACGGGCTAGCAAAAAAGTAAGATAAAAGTAAAAAGGCAGGGGCGAGGACTCAAAGAGACAGATAGTCTCAAAGTAAATGGACTGATGTCAGTGTGATAATATCATAAAGCTCCTGTAAAAGAGCTTAGACTATGTAACAATAATAGGATATAATAAGAAAGTTCATGTGCTTAGGTAAAGGGTTTATAGAACATTTGGCAGAAATGCTTAAGAGGTTTGAATACAAAAACTGGAGTCAAGTTCTAGACTGTGATCTATCTAAAGATAGCACTTCATTTGAAAGTAGGTCAAATTGTATGTTAACCAACCAAAAATCAATCATGTAATTAAAACATTTATTTCTTTAAGCACTTTAATGCTTTTAACATTAAATTTGCTTAGTTGGCACTCAGAACAAGATAAGAAAAAATATAAAGGCAACATGTCTTTTGATCAATACTGCACATTTACCTGTATCATACATTCAAACTGGTACATACAAAGGCCCAATTCTGCCATACTTGGTTTAAAAAGTTCACGAAGTCTATAGTCTTGCATTAATTTAACAAATACACAGAAAGCTTCTTCTTCTGGCATCTACATTGAAAGAAAAATAACAACATAGGTTAATGTTCTATGATAACGCAAATAAACCAAATGATACTTAAACCAAGCACCCACCCAACCATAAACACTGAATGGCTGTGTGTTGCAATGTTAAGAGCAATGAGCTAAGAATCAGAAAGTTCCAGTAGTCTCCCATTCTATCACCAAGAATGAGAAGTTGGACAAATCTTACAACATCTGAAACCAACTGCCTCAACTTGCCTCATTCATTAATTCAACCAACAAATACTGATTTATAGTCAGATACTTTTCTCTCTCTGGGTATACAACAGTGAACAAAATAAACATAATATCTATTCTCAAGGAACCTGAACTTTCTAATGGAGGGAGACGGACAAGACATGGAATAAATCAACTAATATATATGTCAGATGGTGATGGATGCTATAGAAATAAAGTAAAGTAGGGTAATAGGGAATGCTGGCAAGACACACAGCTATTGATGTAGATCAGGAAAGGTCCCCTGATATGGTAACAGCTAGGCAGAATCCTGAAGAAAGCAAGGGAGCATCTGAGGAAAGAACAGTTCCCGAAGACCAAAGAGTACAAAAGCCCTGAAATGGAATCACACTTGGCATGCTCAAGAAACAGCAAATAGAGAACTACTAAATTAGTATATTATGAGTGAAGGTTATACCATGGAGGGAAATAACAGGGAACCAAAACACAGAGGGCTGTAGAGGCCACTGTAAGGATTTTGACTTTTACCTTAAATAAGAAAGAAGGTTTTTTGAGGATTCTGAGCATAAAATTGTATGATGTGGCACAAGCAATAAAAGAACACGTAAATTAAGTTTTCACATTATCCGAAATTGGGGTTTAAAGGTACCAGTTTCACATGTTTATGTGTAAATCATTAGGAAATCATACCAAAGAAGATAATGAATGTGAAAGCTCTGTAACGAGCTACAAAGATATTCAGAATACTTAGGCAAATAACTATCCAAATTGTTAAGCCATCTTTCTCAAAATAATAAAATCTGCTAATTCTCATTCATTCTCATTATACCAGTGTGCTTCAAAAGAGAACACCCCAAAGGATCTCCAGGCCTTATTCTTACTGAAGACTGCTGCTAATAACAAGATATTTTCCCTGGCCTTGACACAGCCATGGACAGGAGCCAAGAGTTTCTCTTGGCAAAACCTGCTCTTCCTTTCTCCCAACACAAATGGCCACAATTCTACTTTGGAGACTATCTCTATTAATTCTATCAAGCCCCACAGCCCCTCTGAATTATTTCAGTCACTACGAGAAGCCCCAAATCCCAGGAATCTCATCGTATATGATTTTACTGTTCCCCTAATCTGACCCCATTTCCAACCTTTCCTCAACCTTTTCCACAGCATTTTCTGGAACCCACATTCTGCCATCAACGGAATAGTCTACCTGTATCCTCAATCTTTTTTCCAAATATTCCTCTCTTCCTTTAGCTGAAATCTGGATCTGTCCTAAGAATATTTCAACACTGGAAGCTGGCTCTCCCCTAAGGTAGTTGTTTTCTTTCCCACAGCATGGAAGGGGACTGAGATTACTGAGGCATAATACGTCCTTAGGCGATTTCATCATTGTGCAAACATCATAGAGTGCACCTACACAAACCTACATCGCATAGCTTACTATGCATATGCGCCTAGGCTACATGGTATACAGCCTATTGCTCCTAGGCTACAAACCTGTACAGTATGTTACTATACTTAATTCTGCAGGCCAACTGTCACATGATGGCACATATTTGTGTATCTAAACATAGAAAAAGTAAAGTAAAATAGGGTATTATAATCTTACGGACGCACCATCACACATGTAGTCCACTGTTGACCAAAATGTCATTACACAGTACATCATTATAATTTCCCTTTTTGTCTTACAACAATTTTTTCTCTTTTGAACATATTAAAACAAGTTTCATTCCTTCTTTGCAATAACAATGATATGGGAGCTAGGGGAGAATTTTTTAATGGCAACATTTTCAAAAATAAGTTGAGGTAATTTAAAAAAAGAGGAAAAGAAGACAGAAAAAGTATCACTAGGTCCTTCTCAAAAAAACTGAAACCATGGTGGCAAAATGAAAACATGTGACACAGAGTGGCATATACCAAGTTGCCTTATAGTCATTCCTTTTCCATTAGAAAGAAATCAAGACACTTGAGTCCTAGAGCAATGTGGTGTACATACTTTCTCTGTGACTCTGAGCTGATAAGAATCTGTGTCTTTTGCAAAGATCTAATGCAGGTGATATACCAAATTTTATAGGAGTAAGATACACACAAAACATAGTACATATCTAGCACTTTTAACCATTTTGATACAATATATACTAACTTTACAAATTTTATCAGACTCTCTGAGTTACATTTCTAAAGTAAAGTTATGGGAGACAATATAGCATAAGGAATAAGATCATAAACTTTTAAAACAAAAAGAGCTTTTTCTACCTTATGGCCCTGGGCCATAAGTGATCATCATTGTTGTGCTGGTATATTGCTGACACTGACAACAGCTAAGTCAATCACCAAAATATCATTTATTACTCCAATAATGGTAATAATACTTATTGAAGTTAGTATCTCTACCACCATTGCTTGCCCTGTTTTGAAGGAAACTGTGATTCCTAGAGGATTCACAGGATCCAAAGGATTTCTAGAAAGCTAGGTCAGCTGTTGAGAGATTCAGACCTCAAGCAGGAAAAAACTGCTCTTCAGATGTCCAAGAGAAACGACTACTAAAAAGTTACTGTGGAGCTAACAGGAAAATAAAAGGAACAGAACCACAGAAAAATCACTAGACTGATAATAAGGATGTCTTAGTTTGATAACAAAGATCTACCAATACTAAACAATTATATATTAGGAAAATCATAATTTTCAATTAGCAATAATCACGCCTTGGATAAATCTCATTGGCTACGAAACTGCCATTGCACAAAGCTGAAAAATCGTTAATTCTGTTAAACAACTATACCCTAACATTAACAAATGTAGTTTTGCATTGTATTATTTATAACATAATTCCACTTAGAAATCAATAACCACTGGGAGCACTTCTTATGTGTTCTTACATATGCTGTAACACAATGTAAAAATTATTTTTATTATAAACCTGGTGTCAGAGATGTCTGACACCAGGTTTATTCTACTCAGAAAACAGGTATGTGTATATTCCTGACAGCAACAGAGTTTCACGCAGTTGGGAAGTGAAAGCAAAGCATCAGGAAATGGTTTCTGATTCCTACTCTGCTTTTATCTACCAGGATGTGTGATCTTGGGCAAGTCAACGAACTTTCACTGCATTTCTCCTATGTGCCAAACACCATGCTAGGCTTCTACATAACATTACCTCAAATAACCTCCAATAATGAGGAGTAATCTTTTTCTAACCAAGGAAGGAATAATTACAGTGCTGGTAAGAAAATCTTTTTTATATTGTACAACATCTTTAGAAATTTACAGAGAATTTAATTGATCATGGAGCTAAAGGTCTGTTACGCATACCTCACTGTATGCTCTAAAGGAGTGGTACTCAGCCACTTTTACTCCCTCAAGGATATAACTTTGTTACTGAGTAATTTTGCAATGGGTTTGGGTGGGATGTTTTCAGAATTCAGGGGCAGGATAATCATAGCTTTGAAGGGAACTAATCACAACTAATCTGAAAGTAGATAGTATTATCTTATTAAGGCTCAGAGAGAGGTTAAATAATCTACTCTAAATTCATACAGCATGTGCAGAACTGAGTTGCAAAATCATCCTATACAACTCAAACCAAGTCATCTCCATGATTCCTTTTCAGGACTAAAATCTGAGACTAAATAAAGAGTAAGATGGACTTAACATTTCAACAAAGCCAAGGAGATAACACTATATGCCATTTCCCTTCAAAGCTATGACTATCCTATGTGTGAATTCTGAAAACATCCCACCCAAACCCACTGCAAAACTACTCAATAACAAAGTTATATCCTTGAGGGGTAAAAATGGCTATTTTAGAGCATGCAGTGAGGTATGCATAACAAGCCTTTAGCTCCGTGGTCAATTAAATTCTCTATAAACTTCTGAAGATGTTCTATAATATAAGTAAGATTTTCTTACCAACACTTTAATTATTCCCTCCTTGGTTAGAAAAAGATTACTCCTCATTAAATGTTGACAAGTAAGATTTTAAAATACTGTAGATACAAACTTTAGACTATTATAGTAAAAATGTATACATCATGAAGTTAAAATTTCATTTGGCAGTAAGATATTATTGTATGTTATTTTAACACATTTGCCCTTTTAAAGTGCCAACTAAATATCTGTCTTTGAATTATGCCTAGAAAAAATCCCCAATATCCACTTATATTTAATAAAAACAAAGATGCTTTTTAAACTCTCCAATCTACTAAAGAATTTCATTGGACATTTAATACTTATATTAACTTACCTGCATAAGCAACAATCCAACTATAAAAGCACTTCCTTGACAGTAACCAACCTCACGATCCACTAAAGAATAAGCCTAAAAAGTAAAAAAATGTTGTTCAAAATACATGGTAAGTTACACCTTCCTTGACCATTTGTTTTTTAGAAAAGCTCTTGCTTGCTTGTTATAGATGTTATCCTATACATATTTAAAAAGCAAATGTTTTATTACATGAAATTTTGTTTTGACAATTTCCCAATTCAAACTTGGTAGCTCCTGAAGACAATATAATAAAATAAAATAAAGGAATTTGTACTCAGGAAGGTGACAGGGCTTAAACATCAAGTAAAATTTATATTGATGTGGATAAAACTAGACTAGGTTTAAGGCAAAGGACTGGCGAAATGAAATGATTAAACAAGAGTCAGTATTTCACAGAGACAGCTGAAAGAGAAAGTAACTGTGGGAAGGGAAATAGCAATATTGAAGAAAAAATGACAATGGTATACCTTTCAAGGGCTAAGTGTTCTAAACAATGCTGGTCACAGCAAGGAGAAAAATTTGCTGACTGTAGGAACTCAGATCTGCCAGGAGAAACCCACATCCCAGGTTCCGAACTTCACAGATGGTGAATTACCCATTTTTATGAGGAGCCCTCTATGGTATGTGATTTATAAGCCATCGCATTTCTATCAACTAATGCTGACTAATGTAGCAAATATTCTAACAAGTCTTCTACACTAGACAGTAATGTAGCATCAGAATTAAGGCAAAAATAATGCTAAAACCAATTTTATTGCCAAAGCAACTGATCACTGTGGTGGAAGGTCATGCTTTATTGTGAAAAATGTGTGATTTCAACCTTCCAGGAATTCATTTCATTTCAAAATATGAATAAATAAAACTGAATAAAAATAAATAAATGAAACTTACCTTCATTACATTAAATAAAACCTCCTGTCCAAGGCTATCTTTTTCCTTAAAAAAATTGTGCTCAGGATAAGTTCTAGCAATGTCCCTTCGGATCAATTTTTCACAAGGTGAGGTCATTTTCAGTAGTTCTGAATACTGATCCTTAATCGGCATACTTTGTGCACTGCATAAAAGTTGCCAAACTATTGCTCTAAAGTGATGAGGTATCCCTTTACGGACAAGTTCCTAAAAATACAATAAAATTTTTTAAATAAATTATTTAAGCCTATCTTGCAAGCAAAGAAGACTTACTAGGGGGTTGGAATGAAGTGGAAGACTTCATCAAATTTGTAACTCACAAAACTAGCTTTATAGTAAAACTAGGGAACCCTTTAAGCCAAGGGTAAGACGGGGCCCTGGGTGTATCCTGTTCTGGTCAGAGGATTAATAACGGTCATTTCACCTCAGTGTGTGGCCTCTTAAGGTAATGGACCTGAAACCTACAAAGCTGTGAATGATGGTACAGTACCCATCATTCAATACTGAAGACAAAAAAAAGAAAAAAAAAAAAGTAAAATACTGTAATTCAAGAATTCAGGATATTACAACTTCATTTCTGAACCTATATAATTACAGAATTTAATTTCTAAAACAATTTTCAGGCTGGGCAAGGTAGCTCATAACACTTTGGGAGGCTGAGGCAGGAAGACTGCTTGAGGCCAGGAGTTTGAGACCAGCCTGGGCAACAAAGTAAGACCCCATCTCTACAAAAAAGTGAAAATAAAAAATTAGCCAGGTGTGGTGGCACACACCTGTAGTCATAGTTACTCAGGAGCCTGAGGCAGGAGAACAGCTTGAGCCCATAAATTCGAAGTTATAGTGAGCTATGATTGCACCACTGCACTCCAACCTGAGCAACAAAGTAAGTCTCTATAATAAGTAAATAATTTTCAGCTGTATATTATATATTTCTACATTATCAGGACCTCTGTAACAACTAATGTCTTCAAATTAAAATTTCTAGGGGTGAAAGTAAGTAAAAACAAATAAAGCAGACCCCTTTAATATATAGCTTGAAAGCTGTCAGAATTTGGGTTTTTTTTTTTCTAATACTCTATTAAGTTATGCCTGATGCACTTTGGAATAAGAATAAGAACGTCAACAAAGAACATGAATACCTTAACTTGTTTTTCCTTTTTTTTGCGTACATCTTCCCATTCATTAACAATTCTTCCCCAAAGAATCCAAGAATCTTCTTCAAGGTGACTGAGGTTGCTAGAGGCTGATGAACTCGACACAAGAGAAGAGCCACTGTTTCTTCTTGACCCATTTACAGATCTTAAAGATTTACTATCCGTTTCTAACAATCTAAAACATAATTAAAAACTGTTCAAGATCTAATCTAACAGTGATATTAGAAGAGGCAGTGATGATACTTAGAGCTTGATTCTGTAATTTAGCCACTTTTAAAATACAGTTTTAATAATATACATGATTTAAATAAATTTTGGTTGGCATCAATAAAATTACTGCTATATTTTTTCACCTATCATAGCAGTTTGAAAATTTGAAAAGCAAATTAAGTGAAATATTTTTGAGTTACTAGTCCCATTATAATCCCCCTTCATTTCCATTAAAATTTCTATTTGGGGGATATCTGATGAGAAAAGTAGATGGGTAGGATTCAGGAAAAAAGAACTTACACTTGGAAGAGATACAATAAATCTACGAAATAACTAATCCTAAAATGTTTACAATATGTCCAAGGCTTAAAAGTAAGGCAGAGCCCCCAAAATTAACCAAATCACTTCTCTTTCTTCATTTTGCTTCACACATGCAGAACTAATCTGCCCAAACAAAAAGTATTTATGTGGCCCATGCAGTGTTTGTGTAAAAAACTGAGCTATTACTAATACATTAAAATTGGAGGATTTCATGTATTTGCTTATATGAATTTATACCTTATTTATAATTCTAGATTCTCCTGAAAAATAAAAACATAAAACCAGTCTACACTCCTGCACAGTAATAACAGGAAACAGCTGCGTGGGAGCTTCTTCCTTCAAATGCAGGACTTTAATCTGATCAATTTCCATAATCCCTACAGTTTCCCCTAAAACTCAGACCGGCTAACAGCTGCTATTTATTACTGGGCTTACACTGTTAAACTGGGACCTCTTCACTCATGAAATCCCTGTTGACTTTTGAGCTTGCAACCCTGTATTAGGCCTCCTCCTTATCTGATGAAAGATGGGTTAAGATAATTTTCAAGAGCCAATCCATGACTAACCACAACATTAAGTCTTTTATTTCTTTCACATATGCACCAGCTATAAAGGAAGTTTGGAAAATGTGGCTCTATCACTATTTAACAGAGCTACTACTCACTTTCAGTAATTCTTCCAGGAAAAGTCATTTGCTTAGGGTACAACAAATGCTCACAATACTAATTCATAAAATACAAAAGCTGAGAAAGAAAAGAAACATATAGAGGTTGAATCCTATTTAGCAGATTATTAGAAGCACCCTTTGATAGCCAGATTTATATGTGACTCCTCTTTATATCCCTTAGAACATTTAGTTCAATACAAAGTATATTAACTATCGAAATAAAATAAAATCGTAAGTCCAAAATTTTAAAATTCCAAATTCCAGGTATGTCACATTCAGTAACACAACAGTATAAACTGAACAAACAAATTCTATCCCTATTGAGGGAAAATTTAACATATTTTCAAGGCAACAATGATTAAAATAAAATTTCCCAAATATTGCTAAAAACATAAAAACATACCAAACAGCCAAAGTAAGCATCAACTAATTACTATAAATAATTTTACTTGAGAAAAAGAATTAATTTGGAACAAGGTTCCTGAGGAAAAAGATAAAAAAAGAATTAATGATGATATTTTACTTTAAATAATGTTTTTAAATACAAATTATTTCAGTAAATCCATAATATATTTTATGGAAAAATAAGGTTACCTAAGTAATTTTCCATATGATTCTAAGTCCTAAGAATTGTAGATAGAATAGAGAAACAAATTTTACTCAAATAATCTAAATCTTAGTTCTTTGCTTCACTTATTTACTGAATGCTTGCCACATCTCAATTAAATTGCATCACTATCAACAGAGATATGCAGTTCAGAGAAAGAAATGGTACTTCCCAAGTTAAACCTAAGTTCGAGGTGTAATGAAAGTCTAGATGAAGAAGTGCCTAAACAGAAGGCTTTTAGAGAATCAAAAAGTCTTGGATTGCTGAGTTATTAATACAACTTCTAGGATGGGCAAGAATATTAAGTGAATTCATAGCATTCGTGGGTTAGAGATGATTAAGCAGACAACCTTCCAAGAATATGGAAATAGCACATCCAATTATACAAAGCTGTGAGGAGCATTTACAAATAAAACATCTCAAGACATTATACAATTTAAAGATACTGTCCCTGCTTTATCTCATATCATATGTAAAAATGATTTAAAGTGTATAAGCCTAAATGTAACAAAACTATAAAACTCCTAAAAACAAAATATAGGAAAACCTCTTCACAACCTTTGGGGTAGGTAAAAATTTGTTTACAGGACATAAAGAAATAGTAACCATAAAAGAAAAGATTAGAAAACTGGACTTCACCAAAATTAAAGAGTTGTGCTCCTCAAAAGATATTATTTTAAAAAATGAAATGGCAAGCTAGACCAGAGACTGAGGAAAAAAAAAAGTCTCAATACAGGTATCTGACAAAAGATTGGTATACAGAATATATGAACCACCCTTAAGGTCAACAACTAAGAAGCCAGCCAAACACCACATTTTAAAAAATGACTAAGAGATGTAAACTGATACTTTCCAAAAAAGATAATCAAATAGCCAGTCAGTACTTGACAAATGTTTAACATCTTTACTTATCATGGGAAATGCAAGTTAAAACCAAACTACATACATATTAGAATGGCTACAATTCTAAAGACTGACCATACCAAATGTTGGTCAGCATGGAAGCAATTGTAACTCATATCAAAATTAAAAGTATAAAATAGTATAACACATTTCAGAACGGTTTGATAATTCCTCACAAAGTGAAAATACATTTCCATGTGGTCTAGCAAGTTAAATGAGAACATATGTACAAAGAAGATATAGTTGAAAGTTCATAGCAGCTTTATTCACAATAGCCCAAAACCAGGTACAATCCAAATGTTCAGAAAAATAAGTCATCGAATTGTGGTACATTCATTCACTGTGATACTATTCAGCAATAAAAACAAAGAAACTACTGACACATGCATCAACATGGATGAATCTTATAGATGTTAGGTAGAATGAAAGAAGCCAGGTACAAAGGGGTACATACGATATGATTCCATCTATATAAATTTCAAGAACAAGCATAATATAGAAGAAAATACAAGAATAAATCTTCATGACTTTGAGTTAGGTAAAGCCTTCTTAAATATGATCAAATGCACATGTGACAAAAGAAAAAATAGATACACTGGAATTCATAAAATTAAAACCATTTTGTACTTTACTGGCTACCACCAAGAAAGTGGAAAGACAATCTACAGAATGGGAGAAAAGTACTTGCAAATCATAAAGGACTTGTATCTAGAATTTATAGAGAACCCTTACAAATCAATAATAATGTGATTTAAAAATGAACAAAAGATCTGAATAGACATTTTTTCCAAAGAAAATGGCCAATAAATATGTAAGAAGATAGTCAACATCACTAGTCATCAAGAAAAAGCAAACTGAAAACACAATGAGATACTTTACAACCATTAGGTTAGTTACAATCAAGATGACCAACAACAAAAGTGTTTGTGAGAATATAAAGACAATGGGACTCTCATACACTACTTGTCGGAATGTAAAATGGTACAAGCACCTCAGCCTGACAGTTCCTCAAATGATAAGCACAGAATTACCATGACTCAGCAATTCCACTCCTAGGTACATACACAAAAGAAATGAAAATTTATATCCAT